GTGTTAATGTATATATATATATAATTATTTAATTTATGTCTTTGAATCATAATTTGATAAATTAACTATATAAATTAACTATATAAATTAACTATGTTTAGAATATAAAAAATAATAGTTTATAATATTAAATACTTTTATAGCGATATACACATATATATACTGCAGTTTAAATTCTTATACAAAATTAACTTAATTGATTCGATTAAGTCAACTATATGTTTATTATACCAAATCATTTCAACGCATGAATAAAATCTTATTTAATATTATAATAAAGAATTAATGTTAATGTCATATTTATGAGTATCAATGATTAACAAAACATCCTGCATAATAATCATTTTGTTTGCAATCAGGAAGCAGAAGACCGAGTATTCTGCCAGTACCAGATATGCTGACTAGCTCGACGCTGCATTTGCCTGGTCAGGAATCCTTAGACCACGACGGTGATGAGTCGGAGGACGAAATGGATGACGATGTTCCCTGGAGATCGCCAAGCGAGAAAATCGCGTAAGTATGTTTTTCTCGTGATATACATTACATTCAAGGATCCGTGGAGATATCACGGATCCTTGATAATTAATGCAGCACGAAGAACAACTCATTGAATTAGAGAAGTCAATCAATATATTTATTTTCGAAGAGAAGTAGAGGAAAAATTATTAGCAGAAATGTATGTCCACTTTTTTCTCTTCTTCCGATTTGTTTAATATTTGTTATGAACGATCTTTCTCTAGCACAATCGCACAAGATTCTCCGAGAACAAATAATTTCGCACTCTGTCTCGTGCACTTGCATGACGCGGTCTTAAGCATCGGATTTGTTTATGTGCATTATACACATATATTTTTTATATTTATGCATATATTGTATGCACTTTATATTTTTTATATTTGCACAATAACCGCAAAGTCTGGAGACAACCCGTAAAAGAAAGATTTTAAAATTTCAGGGATGATTAATAAAAATGAAGAAAAATTACACGTAATTATTACACATATAAACATAATTAAGTCTACAAATCTCTACGTCTTTTTTTTCTCTTAAGTTTACACGCGTCTTAGTTATATATAAATTTCTTGTGAAAAAAACCACAAATTTAAAAAAAAAATTTCCACATTTCTCATTGTCATATAATATATATAGTATACATATATATATATAAGTAGGTCGTTACAAATTAAATTTGACAGAGAGTTTAAAATGACTTTTTGAGCGTCTCATTCTTTCAGTGCAATTTTTATTATGCAATTATTTTAGTTCTTTATGTGATCTCTGATATAATTTTTATCACATTTTATCCTATATATCAATATCCCTCTGATTTAGATGCGTGTGCTCACATGCGTATAAATTAATTTATTAGCTTTTGTAACTTCATTTACCAGCCTTGAACTCGATCTCTGGGCATTGCAAAGGTTGCTGTAGCAAAAGAAAGAAGGACAGTAATATAATAGTCTGCGTATATTTATTATAAAAAATATTTACCTTTTTGTTAAACTGCAGCAAATAATTCAATTAATTAAAATAATAATATGGCATATTTCATGTCAATTTTTAAAATTTTGATTATTAACGCTAAATTCTATGTCATTTCATTACCATGAAATTTCGCAAAAAAGCCTTTGCAGGATCAGACTGGACACAAAGTCATTCGTGTTTCTCTGAAAGACAGCTCGGCGCTCTTTTAATTTAATGACGTCGTTAGCGCGGAAACATCAGGAAAGGCACGATTGTTCGTTCATTTTGTGTGACATCGAAAGAGAGGTCATTTATGCGACTACCTACACTCGGAGAGTTACGCAAGCATGCATCATGCGCGTTCGCGCCTTTGCAACGTACTCTTATCTTCATCTCGGATACTCTCGACACCGTCGTTATCTTGTCAGCAGGATAACGTTAGTTCACGAAAGCATGAGTGCTTATATCCTTCTAGTTTGTATAACGAATGAAAATGACTGCAATTAAAAATAAATTTTAATCCCCATTAATTTTAATCCGAAATTTTACGAGGAAAAAATTATCGCTTCAATTTATTGAAATTACATTGAATAATATACTTTATTCAGATATTTTTTAATTAAAAACATTTTTGGCATAAAATAAGACATATAACGTTTTATGCATAATTATCATGTCGCTAATGATCCCTTGCCGATATCCTTCTCTCATCTGTAAACCTAAAGTGCTAAGTATGTTATCCATTTCACATATTTTAATATCTTAGAATCTTAGAACATGGATTCTAAATTGCTATTTTTTTATGTGTAAAAATTGATAATTAAAATTTTGTTGAAAGATAAACTTTTTTGCTTTTTCAATTTATTGGAGGAAATATAATACAAACACTCAAAAACAAAGTTAAATATCTGCTTTTCATATTTATAAAATATTCCCGAAGAGTCATGGAAAGCTTTTTAATATTTAATTTCAATTATCTTGTGACTATTGAACTTCGTACTTGTTAAAATTTATTTAAAATTAACTGCAAAAATAATTCACCTTGCTTTTATTATATATGAATTTATATATCAAATATTTATATATTCTTTTCAAGATAGAAAAGACGCTCTTTCTTATATATAGTGTAGAGGAAGCACGCGCCTTCTAGAATATTTTGCATAAATAATGAAAAATTTTATATTTTTATAATATTCCTTTATTCTACTAGTCAAAAGTAGATTAGTGCTATGCTTATATAGTTAGCAACACAAGTACGATCTCTGATATCTCTATAGATAAAGACATTTTTAGAATAAATTTTTAGAATGAATTTTTAGAATTTTACAAAGCGATACGAAGCAAAGTAGGATAAAAGATAAGTCGGACTATAAATTTTTTTATTATATTATGTATTATTTGTATGTTTTTTTCTGGGCTTATCTCTCTGCGAACATGAAATGGGGAACCGAACATGATAAATGAGTCGTTAAACATTTATCGTTAGACGCAAATCTATTTTGACGCACCGCGAAATGTTTATCCCTTCCATCTTTAATCATTTAAGTATAATCGTGCAAGTCAATGGTCGATGTGTCTTGTCTCAATGTCTCTCGATGCCTGTTTCACTAACGGCACCGGACGGTGCCGTTGAATCGCTGCTCGATGCTGTCCTGCCTGACACCCTATATGTTCTCATGGATGTTTTCGATGTCTTCCTTCTTGCACTGCCGTCTTGTCGCACGACTTCCGTCCAGCAGTTACAAAGGGTGAGTCTCTCGTTTTACGCTTCTACACATCTCTCTCTCTCTCTGTCTCTCTCTCAATTTAATTTGCTTGATTAGTTATTAAAACCTATATTTATTTATCTTGAGGATTTTAATTTACTTATTATAACATAGTACATGTCTTAGCTAAACTAGAAGTTTGCTTATCAAAATGGTCTCGATGTAAGTATATATCGAAAACAGATGTCCGATAATCCTCCGATTATAATATTTGCAATATGCTATATTGATATACGTGGTTTTCCACCAGCAAATTGATTTAAATTAAATATAAATTTATTTTATCATCGTTATTTTAATTATTCGTTAAATATATAAGCAACTCACACATCGAGATTAAATATGTAATGTCTAATTAAGAAAAAAAATTAAGAAAAAATATATAAATAATAAATTTTTAGTGCTAGATATAATATAATAATAATAAGTAATTTTTTTGTTTCGTGATTGTTTCAAAAATAAATTGCCAACTAAAAATATATATAAAAATTTTATACTGAAACTTTCGTGTGTCTTGAACACCATTAACTATGTCGTAAAATTTTGCAGAGCGATATTAATCGTGAATATAAATTACCTAAGGATATAATTTACGAACAAACACAGCGGCATTATGAGCGCGATAAATGCTTCCGGTCAGGCATAACACTATCCTGATATCGAACACTGTCCACAATTCGCCGCTTGGATTGCGTGACGCGATGATACTCACGAGATTCGAGAGTAGTGTAAAGCTACTTGTCCCCTCTTTCATCTTCTTCAAGAGACCCATCTCCGGATTTCAGGGAGCTCTGAAAATCGGTAAACGATATTCGAGAGTTAAACTTCCTGCGAAAAGTCGTATATCTTCGCCACGTATCAAAAAGCGCGTTCTTGCGAGTTCTAAAGTAACTGTCGAGCATCTATAAACTATGGCTAACAAAAAATATGATAAAACCGATTCAATCTTGATTTAATTTTTGAAAAAAAGACGAGTGGCAGTTTTGATCATGCGCCAGTATCTCTACCAGCTGATGAGACGCCTTCTCGAGTAATCGCGTTATCACTTGAGTCTTCTCGAGCGACGTTTCTTTAATAAGAAGCACGGCGTAAAAATCTAGCATCACACGTAAAAGTGTCGGGATGAGATAATCAAGTTTCAACGACGTTGCAGGATTGTCAAGGGATTTCCGCCGGTTTCACCATTCATTGGAGTTTCGCCGACCTTGTGCTATCTTCTCAAAGAGAAGAAGCCGCTCTGTTGCCTTCAACTGGCTCAGGTATGAGAATTTAGAAAATAAAATAAAATTGTATAAAAATTGAAAAAAAAACAAGTACCGATTCCCTCGATACTCACAATTCTTTTCGTCTTTTTGATTTAGGTATGCCAGCATTGCAGCTATAGGAACGCCAAAGAATACAATTGGCAAAATAAGACCATCATATTGGCGGCCGATTACGCCAGCAATGGGATTTATAACTTTATAATACCATTAAGAGCACATTTTAGGTACGTATCGCAATATTGATGTGCCTTAATATGTCATTTTTTAGCTTGAACTGTTTATTTAACTTTACAAAATTACACTTGTACAAGATAAGTAAAAATCTTATCATTTGCAGTGTTATTTTGTATTTTGCTATTGCTATAATTATTGAATTATATAAAAATGTATGATTATTATATAAGTAAGATTATTATACATATAAGTAATTTTTTAGCATTATTTTTTAAATATATGTATATCTCTCTGCCATTCACATTAACACACTTTCCATTAATTAAAGAAATATCCGATCATTTATAAAACATTTCAAATATTTTTTTAACTGTGTAACAAATGTTAAGGCCTTAAAACAAAATTTAAAAACCTGTTATTGTGGCGGCGCTTCCACGAAAAGCCATTTATATCCGTCGTATTTTTAATAAAATATTTTCTATTTTAATACTTAACAGATAGATAATTTTAAAAATGAAGAGTGTGTTATACATAACAACAGAGTATTATATTTCGTTGAAT